GTAAACAAACTTTGAAGTAAATGTCATGTATTGACATTATTGATTGATTTCTTGAATTTTTGTGTGATTTAGTTAGTGTATATGAAAGATTCGTAAAAAGTAAATATGGTGCAATCGTATTATGCGATAAATTGCGTAAAGAGACGTACGTTTAAGTAGAGAAAAAAAATTAAATTTCATATGTAGGAAAGAAGTTATGATGGTACCAACATGTTTATACTTTTCGCATCTTTCTGAAAATAATGACCAAGTAGAGTTGTCTCTGATGATAACTTATTAGATTATATTATTTCCCCTATCCTCAAAATAAAATGTCATTTTAATGTCAAAATTTTGCCGCTTTAAATGTGTCTTCAAATTATTTTTTAACATCAAACCGAATATAAAGAAAAAGTTTTAACTGAAATGTGCGTATAATGAGCTCCAGCAAAAATTCTCTTCAAATAATATGTTGAACGAAGAAAGCTTCGACATAGTTTCAATTTATACAGTTCTGCAAAGTAAAAAATATGAAATATTTGAAACAACTACATCAGAACAGCTTGCAGTAATTTTAACCGATCGAGTTTATGATATGAGGAAAATAAATCGAGTAATACATAAAGAAGGCATTATAAAAACTATTTGAAATATAGCTAAAAACAATTCAAATATTGTACTGTAATTAGGATGTAATTATATAATAAACCCTTTTACATACCTACACTACTGGGAAAAATGAAAATTTTTTGTCCTTTAGTCTCTACATTATTTTTATAGTCTTTGAATACGGCCCAACGGAAAAAAAGGGGTAAGGAATCGAGTATAGCTAGCTGATTAGTTGAATTAAATGGAGCGAGCTGCAGTCGAAATTCTGTGAACGAAGCTTAAGCCCTTACAAGCTCCATCTCTCTCACACACGTCTGAGCGATTGCCGTTTGTATAGGCAAAATGACAGTTGGGCGAGTCCAGTAGTTTATAAGGTCTATGGCTAGCAGTGACATTTCAGAAACACCAGTATATTTGTTCTGGCACCATTCTTTGAAATTTCTATATGCTCGTCCGTAGCGCACTTTCGACTTTTCGGGCAAAAAAAATTCGCAGGCAGCATTGCTGCACTTTTTATTTGAAAATCACTCATTTAGAAATAATAATTCAAAACCAGCAAAATTGCAACTTTTATGTAGCTTTGTTTATAAACACCTTAGAAACGACAAAATCCAAACAACCAAGGCGACTTTTCAATATTTCGAATAATGTCAAAATGAATTGATTAAGAAATATCAAAAAATAAAACCTAATCTTTATTTCATGAGCCATAAAGAACTGTGGGAGCAGATAAAATTGTATACACCACGCAGCAGTGAAGTATAATTCACCAGTCTCGGATTCTATTGCCAGCCCTCGCTCCGCTCGTACGCAAATTCGTCCTCGACTCGTAAATAATACTTACCTCCTTTATAGTGTAAATAACTATTAGAACAGTAATTTTATTTCCTTCACGTTGGCAATAAAATTTCGGTAAAGTTAAATCAATAAGATGAAGTTTACACTAAATTGCAATATTCTGTTTCACCGGCTATGATTGGTGAAACTTTACACGAGATTTTATTCAACCAATCAGCGATAGCATCATCTCAAGCATAGACGTAACGGTTTGTCACTGTTCATTGTAAACGAACCATTAATATTGGTGACGCCAATATTTAGGGAATTTTCGTTACCACTACCAATCGTTCAATGTTGAGTTGCTCTAACTCTGCGGTCACGTGGCTTGTAAACATTTATGAAGACTGTATCGATATCTATTTGCAGAGATGTAATAAGATAAATTGCTAGATCAGATTTGGTTAGAAATATTACAGAAAATTTAAATTTTATTTTCAAATTTCAGCAACAAATTATTGTCTGGACCACATAAATTCAAAGTTTGGAATTAATTAATCCTAAAACACCCTTCGCAACATAAATTTATGGAATAAGCTATAAATACAAAATCACTGCGATTACAACAAAAAATTTAAGCCTTTAATTTTCCTTCGGCACGCCAGGCACCAAAGTTACGGAAATTCCCACACAATACCCGTTATTCCGAATATAAGTGCCTGCCTATTTAAATTTGCAGACAAGAGATAGGTGGCCTGCTATTTCGAGATTCGTCAATGGTACCAGTTTCATAGCTATCGATTTTTCCCAACACTTCCCACTAATACGGCCGAAGAATGAAAAAATACTTTCAAACAGTTCTCTTGAATGGACTGAAGAGCTTTTGCAAGTAAATTCATTCTTACAGTTATAAACTCGCATCGATTGTAATCAAATTTGAATAGAATGGTAGGTGGTTCGTCATAGAAAATACTGAGTTACTTACAACTTATCCAAAAAAAAATTGGGAATAGATGCGTCATGAAAAATGGAGTCAATATCTTAAAAAAAAAATGTAAAATCCTTATAGTTTCCGAGAAAAATATTGAAGTTGTAGTATTTTTAACCCTTACATCTTTGGGCTACTGTAGTCTCCCATCGTCATTCGTGTTGTGCGCTATGCGCAACGCGCTACGTGGCCTCAGGCGATTCGCTATACTGAAATCCGATTTTAGTGTTAACGTTCTTGCGATAGTGTTTACATTAGTTTTTCATGTGTCAAAAATGGCTTAGGTGTATAGCAACTCGGAATTGATGGTATCGTTTTATGGTGAAGCAAACCAACATTTGCGTTATAGTGAAGCAAGATAACATTTGTGTTAGGTCGTAGGAACTGGGTAAGACGGGCCCAAACGTGTTTACACGTCGGTGGACAAAATTTTGAACAGTTGTTGTTACATCATGTCAAATTATTTTATTAATTAAAACCATAAATAAATTTTTTAATCAGTTGAATTTGCTGATATAAAATAGGTGTTATAAAATTTTATTTATTTCTTTCCTTGGGAAAGAAATTGGACAAATTTCAAGTACCGTGCAGGAGTGTATTTTTAAATCAATTTCAAATTGTCCTTTTTTTAATTGTATTTGTAAGCGTTCCCTGTGCATTAAAAAAATGGTTGGATAAATTCTGAATCACCCTGTATAATTACATGTAAAGCATATAAAACTCACCATAGCGTATTTAAAAAAATAAAATGATAATTCAGATAGTTCATGAAAGTATGAGAATCCCGAGGGCAAATGTTTATACAGGGTGTATTTGAGCGATTTTAAGACAAAAAGTTCGTGTAAACATTGGTCAGAAGATGTTTCGTTTTGAAGATACAGGGTGTTAAAATTTTGTAAAAAAATTGCTATTTCATAAATATCTTAAATACCCTTTACCCAACTTTGTTGTAATTTGGCAGTGTTCTTTGTATTGTTAAGGGGCTAATTTAACCCTAACTTGATTAGATTTATTATATCAAAAAAAAAATGTATACCACTAATTTTTTTGTAATTTTTATATATTTTTGAACTATGCAACTAAAAATACAACTTTTGTCTCTTGAATGTTTTTCGTATCTTGATTAATTTTTGTAGAAAAAAAAAATAAAATACACTTAATCGAATATCCCTGGACCCTACAAGAAACACGGGGAAAAGTTTCTTTTGAAAATTATCATTTTTTTATAATTTTTTATGAATAACATGTAACATCTAAATAACATAAAGTACAAATAACACTGCCAGATTACAACAAAATTGGGTACAAGGTATTTAAGATATTTACGAAATAGCAATTTTTCACAAAAGTTTAACACCCTGTATCCTGAAAACGAAGGATCTGCGGACCAATGTTTATATGAACTTTTTGTCTTAAAATCACTCAAATAATCGCGTGTTGAATTTATTGTACTTACTTAATTAACACCCTGTATAAGAAAAAAAAATAAAACTGGACAAGCAATACGATTTTTCATTTGCGATATACAGGGTATAACATATTTCCGTTACACTCTATATTACAAATTTAAATGAGATTAAGGATCAAAATCAAACAAACGATAGATCCATAAGTGGTACAGGTGTCCAAAATTTAGACAATAATAATTTCTTTACCTCTCGGCGGCGGTCCTCAGTCTCCGCAGAGCCCTCGGGTTCTTCGATATGTCCTTCTTGAACTTCCTCTTGAACTCATCCACGAAGTGGTTGACCAGGCGGTTGTCGAAGTCCTCGCCGCCTAGGTGGGTGTCCCCCGCCGTCGCCTTGACCTCGAACAGAGAACCCTCGTCGATGGTGAGGATCGAAACGTCGAACGTGCCGCCCCCCAGGTCGAAGATCAGCACGTTCTTCTCGCCCTTGAGGTTCTTGTCGAGGCCGTAGGCGAGGGCCGCGGCGGTGGGCTCGTTTATTATGCGCAGGACGTTAATTCCTACGGAAAAGAGTCCATAGGAAAATAATAATAATAATAATAAGAATAATTGGGACAACTTTCATATATCAGAAGATTAATTGTAAAACAGTTCAATTACCTATTACACAATTATGTTCTTATTTTTATTCACCGTTACACATGCTGTCCCAATGTCCCTCATTTCCAAACAGTTGGAAAAAAATAAAAAAAAGATGATAAACAAAAAGTCAGAGGTCATCATGGGAAAGGGTCAAAATTGAAAAAAGGTGCAGTTCCCTCCCAATTTTTCTCGAAAATGGAGCTTGTGGCATATAAAATCTATTTTCTATCTTTGCGGAAAATAAGAGGAAATCTCGAAAGTTGGTTTTCTCTAAATACAGGGTGTTCCTAAATAGGTGTAACGGAAAATTGTAAATTCCTCTTGAAAAAAGAATCATTGGTTTCTTCTTCCATTTTTCTCTCCGGGCTTTCGTTTTCGAGATACACGGTGTCAAAACTTTTTATCCCCACTTGATTATTTCTTATGTCAATACGGTCGAGAATTGACCGCTAGGGTTGAAGCCACAGCGGAACAAATTAGAAATATCCATGAAATTATGAATAACGTTCATAGAAACATGATCCGACGATGTAATGCGTGCATTTAAGCCTACGGACATAATTTTGAACAGTTTTTGTAAATTTTAGTCGCTAAAGTGATAAAAAATAATTTTTACCTATTTTTTTAATTACAAAAGATTTTCGAAACGTTAGCAAAATGTTTGTTTTTGTTCATAAAGTCATTTTTCTTGAAAACTTTAGAGTAATGAACCAAGAGAACTCTTTTTGTGTAAAATTCATTGGAGCTTCAGAATTTGCTGTCAAATGTCAATTTTTCCAGTGACGTAAAAGTTAGGGGGAAAAACCCTTATGATACCTTAAAATCTCCACCACTAGCACGTCGAGAAGGGTGCGAAAAAGTAGCAATTAATAGTGGAAATGTGTGTACAAAAGCTCAGTCCTGTAGGTTCAAACGGTTCCTAAGATATTGGCAAAAAAGTAAAAAAAAAATAGTTTTGACACCGTGTATCTTGAAAATGAAAGCCCGGAGAGGAAAATGGAAGAGGAATGTTTCTTTTTTCAAGAGGAATTTACAGTTTTCCGTTGCGACAATTATTTAGGAACACCCTGTATATACAGGGACTACCATTTTAAATTACGCACTTGATTATCTCTTCAGGTAAGTCACCAATCCGAAAATAACCCTTACGAATGTTGTTGGGTTCGCAGGGGGACATCGGATGGTGACCTTCAATTTGACCTTGACATTGACCTTCACGATCATTTTAAGGTGAAATCAATATTTTTAAGGAATCTCTATATTTGACACCGGATTCGGAAAGAGCGCAAAATTTTACATTTAGATAGATACTTAAGGCTCTTCTTTGGAATAACCTTTAAAGGTTATTTCAAGGACAACATATTTTAAATTACGCACCTGAATAGCTCGTCAGGGGAACCGCCAATCCAAAAATAACCCATACAAAAGTTGTTGGGTTCGGAGGGGGACATCAGATTGTGTCCTTCAATTTGACCTTGACGAAGAACAAGAGCCTTAAGTGTCTATCTAAACATAATATTTTGCGCTCTCTCCGAATCTGGGGTCAAAAACAGAGGTTTCTATTTAAAAAATTAGCTTTGACCTTCAAATGGCCTTGAAGGTAACGGTCAAGGTCAAATTGAAGGTCACCAACCGATATCCCCCTTCGTACCCAACTTTTGTAAGAGTTATTTTCGGATCGGTGACTTCCCTGACGAAATATTCAGGTACGTAATTTAAAATGGGATACCCTGTATACAAGGTGCGCCATTAGTATGAGAAAGTAAAATAACTCCCTTGTTATTCTTAATAAAGTTTATATAAAATTTAATTTGAAACACACAGAGCGATGAGTAAAAACGGGAGACACCAAATATTACATTTTTTAAATGGAACACCCTGTATATTTTTAAACATAATGAATTTCTGAGAAAATTTTATATATGACAATATAAACAGCTTAACATTTTAGTACGAGGTTGCCAAGTTATGTAGAAAACTTCGAATTTTGGAAAAAACATGAACTCAAAGAAGTTGTATTAACTTTCAACTACTAACACTTGGAGTAAAAATATTTGACAGAGTTGTAGACAAATGTTAGGCAAAGACTCATATATTAGCTACTATCGATGTTTTATACAGGGCATTTTTTATAATACGATCATTTTAAGAAAGTTCGAACTTGATTTTCTAAAATTTTTCAAATGGAACACCCTGTATTTTATTATTCTATTTTATTAACATATCAGTCCACTTCAACTTTTATTAAGTATGTTCTACACCTGAAATTGTTAGTTTTTAAGATATAGCAGCATTTCTGGAAAAAACTAGTTTTTATTATTTTCGGTCGCACGAAATGGCTTTGTAAAACTGTCACATTGTGTCAACTTGTCAGTTCATAATTTATCATTCCATTTTCAGTTAATTTTATTAGTTAATATTTATTTGTAGTATTCTATAAAATAATAATTAAGTTTTTTCAGAAATGTTGCTATATCTTCAAAACTAACAATTTCAGATATAGAACATGGGTAACAAAAGTTGAAGTGGACCGGTATGTGAATAAAATAAAACTATAAAATACAAGATGTTCCATTTGAAAAATTTTAGAAAATCAAGTTTAAACTTTCAAAAAATGATCGTATTATAAAAAATGCCCTATATAAAATATATATAAAATATCGATATTAGCTAATATAGGGGAGTTTGTCTAACATATGCCTATAACTCTGTCTAATTATTTTGTTCCAAGTGTTAGTAGTTGAAAGTTAATACAACTTCTTTTAGGTCATGTTTTTCCAAAATTCGAAGAATTTTCTATATAATTTGGTAACCCCGCACTAAAATGTTAAACTGTTTATTATCACCATATATAGAATTTTCTCAGAAATCTATAAAATATACAGGGTGTTCCATTTAAAAAATGTAATATTTGGCGTGTCCCGTTTTTACTCATCGCCCTGTATGTATCAAATTAATTTTGTAATTTAGGTTTCCTGATTCTGTACAATTTTTATATAAACTTTTTTTCTATATTATGAGTAACAAGGGAGTTAATTTACTTCCTCACACTAATGGCCCACCCTGTATATCAATTCCTTTTCTACTCTTTCAGTGCTGAATTTTTCTTATTTGAAGCGTAGTGTAAATGTTATTTTAGAAATTATAATAAATGACCACTTTTTAGCCACGAAGAAACGAGATTTTGTGAATATTTTATTTTTGTTAAAAACGTCCTGACGAATCACGTCCATAAATATTTTAGATTACGTCTTCCTAGAGGCCATGAACTCTAATATTTGGTAAGAATTGCAAGTTTTCTCACAATACTGTCATTATTCAAGAATATTTTACTTTTTCTTTAAAATTATGAAATTAAATTCAAATCTTGATGATTTTTTGTACTTGTGCAGAATTTCTTAGAAATGTCAGGTGAAAATCAAAATTTTGACATTACTCTCGGATTGTCGATAAAAATGTCAGAATTAATAAATAGAAATTCCTACAGTTCCTACTAATATTAAAATACTGGCAAGTTCTCCAATTGCCTAATATTTTCAAAATCAGCCCTGTACATCAACAGATATAGATTTAAAAGCTAGATGCTTGGTATTACGTGTTCAATAAATCATTTGCTGGCAATTACCTAAGTACCGTTATTATTCTCTACTTTCGTTCAATACATACAAAGCAGTGAAGGACAATCCTCCACCACTTCCTGTCCAACAAAAAAAGAACCTCCCAATCGATTCCCATACCAGCATTTCGGACCCTGTTGAAATGAACTTAATTCACCCAGTTACCGGGCACCAAGCGCTATTTACAACCCACTCATGCATTAAACATTAACTTGATTACGTCTACTTAGAATCTAAGACATGCAAAGGCCAGTTATATAATAAAATAATCAATATCTTGTACCAACCTGCAATCATCCCTGCATCCTTGGTGGCCTGCCTTTGGGAATCATTGAAGTAAGCGGGAACGGTGATAACAGCATCCTTGACGTCCTGACCTAGGTATGCCCCGGCGGTTTCCTTCATCTTCGTCAGCACCATAGAGCTTACTTCCTCCGGAGCGAACCTCTTAATCTCTCCCTTGAACTCGACTTGAATCTTGGGCTTTCCCCCGTCACTGACGACTTTAAAGGGCCAGTGCTTCAGGTCCTGCTGAATCTTGGGGTCGTCGTACCGCCTTCCTATGAGTCTCTTAGCGTCGAAGACGGTGTTGCTGGGGTTCATCGCCACCTGGTTCTTAGCCGCGTCGCCTATCAGCCTCTCCGTGTCCGTGAAGGCGACGTAGCTCGGGGTGGTACGGTTCCCCTGGTCGTTGGCGATGATCTCCACCTTCCCCTGCTGCCAGACCCCGACGCAGGAGTAGGTGGTGCCCAGGTCGATGCCTACAGCGGGAGTCTTCACCATGTTGGGGCGCTTCTTGTGTCACTTTGAATTTAAGCTGAATCGTTCAAAGGTTTGACTGAAGTAGATTCGCGCCCACTTTTCGGTTTTGTAGGAACGTAGAGACCGCGGCGGGATCGGATTTGTTCGGAGAGGTTCGCGCGGCGCGTCGAAATATGTTTGAATTAATTACGAATGCGCCGATCTACCGCAATGCACTTTCAGTGTGTTAAATGAAAATTGAATCCTTGCCCTATTTCGCGATTGTATTTGTTTTAGATCGTTCAACTTTATTAAATTACACAGACCGGAGAATAGATGCGGTCATACAGCGCAGTTGTGCCGCTGTTTGACTCGCTCTGGCATCTAGTACGAGTGATTGAGTTGAAAGCGTCAACCTGCCAGATTTAGTGATTAAGAAGTGACGAGTCAAAATATTCCGTTGAGTCTTGATGCCAATATTTTGGGTAAATATTAAAAGACTTTTTGTTAAATCGGCATTTTGCTCATTCTTATAGATTCTCTTAGAACTAATATACAGGGTGGCATAAAAGTATGGGAACCCTAAAAAATCTCGCGATATATGCATTTTCCGGAAAAACCAAATAGAGGGTGTAACTAAATAAGTGTAAAACATTTCAGAGGGTGATTCCTCATCGAAAAAAAGATAGGATCTTTCATATAAAGAAACTTCATTGGAGCATCCCTTGTTAAGATACAGTCCCTTAAAGGGGGTACATAAAATTTGTTTAATAATTTTTTTCACAAGCACTAAACAAATTACAATATTGTAATTAACCTGACATTTTCTACTACCAAAAAGACACTTAGCCAGTAATTTATTTGGTTTACCCCATGGTTGTAAGGGGTGGAAAACGCAACCCCTAAAATTTATTTCCAACGTAACTTTTTGTCTTATTATTTTTTTACCATTTAAAAATTTATTTCCGATAGCCTGTTTCATTCTAAAAAAAAATGTCTCTTGAATTTTTTGCCCAAATTAAACCAGTTCGCAGTAAAAAATTATTTTACGAACAACTACAGAGATACATCGTCATAAATGCGGACTGGATTTACTGTTATTTTGTAGTTACTACCTGCATTAAATGATTAAAGGGGAATAATCAAAACTAATTTAATAATAACAAAACATACAACATGTAGAAATCATAGTAAATGTTCAATATGTCTACCTTCAGACATTACGCATGCGTCTAGACGTCGGCGCATTGAGCCACGTATTCGCTCAAATATTCCTGGAGTCTCTCTAATTACCCTGCACGCATCGATAATGCGGTTTCTTAAGTCCTCTACATCGCGAACAGGAGTACGATAAACCAAATGCTGCAAATGGCCCCAAGTAGACAAATCCAGAGGATTGAGATCCGGGGATCGAGCGGGCCAATTCTGTGGTCCTCCTCGACCTATCCACTGATTTGCATATGTTTCAGTTAAATGCTGACGTGCTACTTGACTAAAATGGGCGGGAGCCCCATCATGCATAAAAACCATATCCCTTCTGACGCCCAAAGGAACTTCCTCCAGCAGTACGGGGGGATGCACTTTTCTTAAAAATTGAACGTATGCCTCACCATTTAATCGAGGAGGTAGAAAATGAGGCCCAATTAAATAATCCCCAATAACTCCGACCCACACCTTAAGAGAAAACTGTTCTTGATGGTTAGTTTCGACAATAGCGTGATGGTTTTCATCAGCCCATATGTGGTAATTATGAAAATTAATAATCTTGTCCCGAGAAAAACTACATTCGTCTGTGAATTCGATCGTCTTCAGAAAGTCACGATTTCTTCTAATCATTTCCAGCATCCAATTGCAAAATTCAAGACGGTTCGGAAAGTCTCGCGGTAACAGTGCCTGTACTCGTTGCAGATGGTAAGGGTATAAGAGATGTTCCTTTAAAATTCGAAATACCGTCATATGATCAACATTTAGCTGGAAAGCAATCTTTCTAGTACTGGTAGTAGGTTGTTCTTCTATCAAATTAAGTACTGCTGCCTCAAGCTGTGGTGTTCTTACTTCTCGATGGCGACCACAATCCTGCGTTCTTTTGTTGAATGAACCATATTCACGTAATCGTTGATGAAGTCAGACAAATATTCTATGTGAAGGATGCTGCCGTTGAGGATACATTTCAGCATATCTTGTAGAAGCTTCTAACCCATTCCCCTGCGACAGACCGTAAACGTAATGCATATCAGCCATTTCCTCATTTGTGTATGCCATTTTAATAACAAGTGAATTATTAAAGTAACAAATTAAGAACAGAACAATACACAATTAGTATTACTTCAATTTCAAAAATTTACAAACTGACAGCTTGATTCCAATTTAATTGTCAGTATCGCTAATGGCGGCCTACTAGATAAATTAGTTTCGTATTTTCGTTTTATGGCGATATGTATCTTGTTCGTAAAATAATTTTTTGCTGCGAACTGGTTTAATTTGGGCAAAAAATTCAAGAGACATTTTTTTTTAGAATGAAACAGGCTATCGGAAATAAATTTTTAAATGGTAAAAAAATAATAAGACAAAAAATTACGTTGGAAATAAATTTTAGGGGTTGCGTTTTCCACCCCTTACAACCATGGGGTAAACCAAATAAATTACTGGCTAAGTGTCTTTTTGGTAGTAGAAAATGTCAGGTTAATTTCAATATTGTAACTTGTTTAGTGCTTGTGAAAAAAATTGTTAAACAAATTTTATGTACCCCCTTTAAGGGGCTGTATCTTAACAAGGGATGCTCCAATGAAGTTTCTTTATATGAAAGATCCTATCTTTTTTTCAATGAGGAATCCCCTTAAATGTTTTACACTTATTTAGTTACACCCTGTATACGGAAAGTTAGGATTTTTCCTTGGCTATTCAATGGTGACCATGCAATGACGTTCAGATATGACCTTGACCGTTTCAAAAATTTCAAAATGGTGGCGAAATCAAGATGGCGGGCGAAATATTTGAAAGTTGACCGATTGTCACCAAATTTTGTATGCGGAGGTTTTCGAGGTCGCTGATCACGAATCAGATTTTTAAAATTCAAGATGGCGGATCTAAGATGGTGGACGGGGCGGATCTAAGATGGTGGATGGGGTTTGTTAAATTTAATCAATGGGAACCAAATTTGATATATGGGGGTTTTGGGGGTCACTGAGCAACCCGAAAAACGGCCGTATGCCATCTTTGTTGCAAATCGAATGATTTTCAAAAAATTCGTCCACCTTGAATCCGCCATCTTGAATTTTGCAAATTTGACCTCGGATTCGTGATCAGCGATCCCAAAAACCTTCGTATACAACGTTTGTGTGTAACTTGGTGATTTTCGAAAAATGGTTTGGTTCAATTTGAGATGTTAAGGTACGTAAACGTCCAATGTTCGTTTGATCTACTCATTTTGAAGAACCTTCCGCGATCCAAAGAAAACCCACGAACATTTTAGTAGACATTTTGCATTGTACATGATCATGTCTTTGTCGCGTGATAAAAATTACGCCGTTTCGGTGATGAGTGGTGCCTTTTTGTTAATGGCAAGTTTGTGCAAAAAGAAAAGGAAACAGCGACGTTAGTGGCACACTATCCTATTTAAGCGCAAATGTATACGCACCTTTAGAGATCTCCCCAAAAGTGGAAAAAAATCAATTCCTGAGGCCAAAAAACTTGACGTAGTACTGGCGTTTCAAGAAAATCCTCGTACCAGCTCGAGACAAGTAGCACTGGATAATAATTTACACCAGTCTGTTGTTAGAGTTCTAAAAAAGAAAAACTGGCATCTGTGAACCACATGTCCTTTACATGTGGTTCAAGAGCTGTTAGAAGATGATTCTGATAGAAGAATCGAATTCTGCGAAACCATTATGCAACGATCTAACAGATATTGGAGTTTCATAAAACCAGCAGATGTATGGATACTGGGCAAGTGCAGATCAACATTGGATGGAGGAGTCTAGCACACAATATCCAGAAAAGGTGAACGTTTGGGCCGGAATTATAAACAACCGAATTATAAGGCCATATTTTTTTAAAGAGAACTTAACTGTTCCTCGATATCTAGAATTTCTGCAGGGTTATCTGTTGCCACAACTGAATCAGCTATGTCCAAATAGAAATGATTTGTGGTTCCAGCAAGATGGGGCGCCCCCCCCCCCACTACACTGTTGATGTACGAACTTACTTAAATAACATTTTCCGTGGTGAGCGGTTAGGGAGGAGAGGATCGATCGAATGGCCACCAAGGTCTCCAGATCTGAACCCACTAGACTTCTTTTTAAGGGGATACTTGATGACAAAAGTTTATCAAAGTCGACCAAACAGTCTAGAACAGTACATCACAACGGAGATTGCACAAATAACCTTTGAAGTTCTATAAAACGTTAGGAAAGAATTTACTGCCCGATATTTTAATTTTGAAGTACATCCGCCATTTTTTGCACTCCGTGAAATGAAATACATCGCGGCTAGAGTCTTACTCCAAAAAAAAAGGATGTAAGTACCATGCACAGACAATTATTTTTTCATAAATTTTTGTCGCATCTCCTGGGCCAACTTAGTCAGAAGCAACCTCTCGTAGTATGAGGTGTACTGCAGGCAATGTGTAGGTATATTTAAATCCTTTTATAATTAGTCGATATATTTATAAATTACACGTAATAAAGTGGACAATTTCTCGACACCTCCGCTGTTTATGTTCTTTAAAAATGTTTAAATTACTAAATCGATGTGTTAATTCAGGTGCCAACTCGAGAAAAGCAAACTATACGACTTCTGTGAGGACAAATGATGTGTAAAAATAAATATAAAATAAAAACAAAACGAGATGACAGAGGTCAAATAGGTAGCATTGAATGATTTGCGAAAAAGTAAGAAATCCTTGAGCAAGAAAAGGATGTGATTCAGAAAATTATACCTAAGACCTAAGGCTTCTACTATTTCAGAATGATTTAATTTGTGCAAAATATTATGTGAATAATTCATAGAACTTGCACACATAAACATTTGAGCTTGCCTTTGAGTCACATGAAATTTAGTTTCCAAAATGGATTTTTTTAAATTGGGAGTGACAATCACAAGTTGCATCCAAGACCATAACTGTGGCTAAGGTTTTATTTCCACATGTCCCATTTTGTAAATTTAAACCTTCTTAGTCATCTGTTATTTTCCTCCTTCTAATTTTAATTGTAATGCATCCATATACAGTGTGTAATAGTTTAAACATTACGACCACCTCAATGATTTAGTACTCGGGAAAGAAAAGTCAAAAATTTATTTCGAATTCGGTTTTCATAGAGATCGAAAATATAGACAGTATTCGCTATAAATCATCAAATCGTCAACTGATTATTGAATTCCATTTTTCTCCAAATTGTAATTTTAGCGATGAAGGTAATTTAAAATTATTTGATTTTAACTCTATAAAAAAATCAGTAAATATGAAAAATGCATTGTCTAAAGTAAGTGCCTACGAAATGTCCAAAAAATATATTGTAATATAATTATTTAGATGTTTATAAAAATATTTAAATTTTGCCACGTGATCAAGAATGCATTGTGACGTCATTTAGTGTGACCGAGAACACAACCGCTTGACTTCTAGTCTACAATCAGAATAAATAAATTTTGGGACTTT